ACTTACTTTTCACCCACATTTCTACTCAAAACCCTCGATGATTGTGGTTATTGTTTAATTACGAATTCTTGAGTCCATCTTTCATTTTGGTGTAGAAACAACTAATTGCGTCGGTAGGAAAGTCGAATACCTTAAGCCGTTTGCCATAATGAGATTTTAGGTTATCTAGCTCGTTTTATCTTTGGAATTAATTGCAATGCTTTGACCAATTCGGCAACTTTGTGGGTGTGTTGTCTGAAAACCCTCACGAGACACAACTCGTCCTTTGGGGGTACCCAGGGGTTCAAAGGCTTGTTGCATACGCTAAATGCAATCGTGATTCCCTACATTAGTGGCCTAGATTTAGTTTGTTGTTTTTGTTCTTTTTTGTTGTAGTTTCGTTTTGATTTACTCGGGACGAGTAAAGATCTAAGTTTGAGGGTGTGATAAGTGTTCGTTTTGCACAACTTTTACATATCAATTCTTCGAGTTTTGGTCTTCGTTTGTCCGAGTTTTCGGCTTTATTTGTATATAATATGTTGTTTTTGTTTTATTTATATTTTAGGTAAAGATAAGCTATTTTTACCGATTCGAGACGATTTTGGAAGCGAAGCCGAGAATCAAACCAAACACGTGCAAAAGTGCATTCTCGCGGATTGTGGCAGTGTTTGGTATTTCAAGCATAACTTTTGCATACGACCTCCGATTGGGCTTATTCAAGTGGATTTAGAAAGCTAACTGCAAGGGCTACAACTTTTGTGAAATGCACAATTTTCGAATTCGGGCTGAAAAATTGTGAAAAAAGTGTTTGAAGTTGATGCAAAGGCCAGATCGCGATCCAGAATCACCGGATCGCGATTTGGGAATGCGGTGCGCAGTTTTCGAGGTTGCCAGATCGCGATCCAAGAAGCCCAGATCGCGATCTGGGCACATAAATTGAGACTAGATATTTTTCTTTGATTTCTCACTATAAATAGAATGTCTTTTTTTCATTTTTGAAACGCTCGATTAACTCTCGATAATCTCTCTTCGGTTCTCGCCAGTTCTTCGCGGGAAGCTTCGACGAGGGTTTCGACTTGGGTTTTTCATAAGCTTTTCTTTACGTTTAGTTTATAATTTCTCGTGTTCTTCATTTTGATGCTATGTTTGTAATGAACTGAGCAATTTCTTTTAAGGGAAATGAAACCTTGTATTTATTGATTTTGATTTCCAGATCTGTGATCTATTTGTCGTTCTTTGATTCTGTTTATGTTTTCCTGTATTAAATGCTTTCGATTGTTTGGCCAACAGTTGAATTGATTGTAAATGGGAATGAACTCGAGAGAGGATTCTCGTTTGATTTTAGGAAAACATAGCTCGGATTGTGGAAACGGAGACGTGATGCACCTCGGGTAGCCCTTAAGGACTTGACCTAAATGCTCTCTTAATGTCAGGTTCTGAACGGAGACGTCAGACCTGTGGGTAGACTCTAACTACACTAGAGACGGGGGTTAGGGTATTTTAGTGTCTGGGTTAGCGAACGTAGAATTGACATTAGATTCGAATTTGTAGATCTTTATTGATAGTACATAGGTGGATTTTACCGTGGAAGCCATCACACGTCGGAATTCCTCACTTATACTGGCGAACCATTGTTTTTATTTATTGTTTCCTTTTAGTTTGATTTCTCCCATCCATTCTTGATCGTCTAGATAGAGTTTAGGATAGTATAATTACGGTACTTGGTAAATTTAGGAAGTTAATTCTCTGTGGATCGATATCTGGAATTCACTATTCTAGAAAACGTGATACTGTACACTTGCGGTTTTTCATACGTAGGTTTTACGCATATCAACGAAGAGTGAGCTGTGGAAATTAACACCAACGTATTGTGGACCATTCTTTATTACCAAGAGGATTGGAGTTGTAGCTTATGAACTACAATTACTTGTAGATGCTAGAGTTCACCCAGTCTTCCATGTTTCACAGTTGAAAAAGCACATTGGAGACACTACAAGGGTCACAGCAACCCTACCACCATTGAATGAGCAGAACCAGTTCCTACTGGTTCATGTGGCTGTAAGAGAGAGGAGGTTGGTCAAGCACAACAATGCGGCTTAAGTGGAATGGCTAGGGGAATGGGCACATCTGCCAGTGGAGGAAGTCCCGTGGGAAGTTGCGGCTGAGATGGAGGAGAAATTCCCAAGCTTCAAGCCATGAGTCATGGCTCTTGGAAGGGAAGGGTAGTGTAACGGTATTAACCGTTTTTCAATTTTTTATTTAAGTCCCTAAAACGACGTCGCAGCACTTATAGAAGTGTGCCCGACTATTCAAGCAAAACACGTCTTTTATTTTAAGTTTGAGTCATCAAAACGCCGCCGTTTTGATGACTGTGCTGAGAACTCACACTTTCTTCATGCTTCAAGACATCAGAGTGCTCCCCAAGGCTCCTCTAGATTATTTCTATTTATAGGCCATCAATATCTGCATTTTTCTTTTATGCTTTTATGATATCACTTAAAGTAGATAGAGTGGTGTAGTTGTGATGGAGTTTTTGTCCAGTTTGTATTGAATGGTTCTCAAATTTTCATCAATACATTTCTACCTATTTTGCAGAGTTTGTTTTTTATTCTTTACAAATCTGCAGATTCATAACACTCCGTCGGTGCCTCCCCCTCTGCCTCCGCCATCTGCCCTCCGTCTCCGCCTCTGTCACCCGGCCTGCGCCTCCGCCTACACGATCCACCCCCCGCTCTATGCCGTCCTCGTTGTTTTGTCAATATCCGGACAACTCTATATGGCAATGTCGCCACCTCCATCTTCTCCCTACGGCCTCGTTCATCTGTAGCTAGGCCTTTGTAACTTCCTCATCTCTAGCTAGCCCTCAACAATCACAAAAAGGTAATCTTTCTTGCCCTATTTTTTTTTTTCTTTGGTTTGAAATCCTAATAAAATTGTCTATGTTAAGTGGTGAACAACATGTTGTAGAGTTTAGGCAAGTTATAGATTTCCATGTTCTCGTGTTATTTTCGAAAATATTGTGTGAATAATTTTTGAAACTCCATTGAAACTGAAAATATTTGTGTGAATGAAGAGTGAAACTCCATCAGGCTACTATTTAAAATTATTACGTAAATATGAGCAAACTCTTGATTTAGACTTTGTATATGCTCAACTTTAATTTAGTTTTAGTTTTTGTATATAATCTTGGTATAAATGGGGGTCTGCGGCCCCATTGCCTTGTTCTTATTTTTTTAGTTCTTTTTTTTTCCAGTGTTATAGCTAAGATGATTGGAGCTTGGGATTTTCTTAAGTAATAAGATGATGTTTATGTGTTTAATTGATTTATACGTCTAGGAATCAGATTTAGGGGTCTAGGTCAAGAAATATAGATTTCAATGAATCCTAGTTCGAATTTTAGATTCGTAGCCTCAGCTTCCAATGCATGTTTTATCGATGATTTATTTTATGAAAATTATGAGATTATACGTTTCAGTTATCTTCGTTTTGATATATGGTATGCGTAAATCGGAATTATATTGATCAAGTTATGAATCATTTTCCGAAATTGCACTATTTCTGAGTCATCTATGAATTGTGTGTTAAATTAGATTCTATCTTAGCCTAATTCATGCGATTCTAAGTGGATATGATTATAAACTTATAAATCTTATTCTTAGCGAAATTTCATGGTCTTTGGTTGAAAGAATGATTTATTTGGAATTTTAAAGTTGAATGCTCTGTTCTGAAATTTTGCTGGTGTTACTGTACTAAATTAATTATTTATCTCCCATGGATAAGTATTTTACTGAACTGTTTTAATATGGTATAATTAACATATATGTGAACATTGTGTGAAAATTTCATAAGGTTTGTAGGTAAGTTTAAGATATATGAATTTTCAAAGTTGATGTACCAAAGCTGCCAGATTTTCTAAAATATAGTACTGTGACTGAAAAGAATTGTTAGGACGTTATTTAGAGGACATAGTTCTATTTAAGGATACCTCTCGAGTGATTTAGGACAGATAAGGGTATAGGTTCGTTTAAGTAATTTGAAGTTCATCATTAAGGTTTTGTAAATTTTTTTGGAATCTTAATGTGATTAGATTGCAAAGCTGATACGATTTCTTTATAGTTCTTAGGAATGGAGTATGTGGATTTGAATTTCATGTATTATGTGTGTATGTGCTATTATAGTTATCGTATGCTTATACGTTAACATAAATGTATAACCTAGAAAACATATGAACGATGCATTTAAGATAATTACATTTGTATGTTATATATGTGAAAGTGGTTATATGAAATAATACGATAATCCCCTTCTCTTGTATGTGATACATAAATGTTTGTTCATGTGTTTATTTGATTATGTGAGTTATTTGAATAAGAAACTGTAGGGAAGAAAATGCTTTGTATATATTTGTTAGTTATGTGGTTATGTGTTTTGCAAGTTCGATTTAACATGGTTATATTATTGGAGTCGAATGATTTCTCATTTATGGTATTGCACGGTCAGGTATAGGAAAGTCAGAATCTTAACATGGCTAGTCGAGTAGACACGGGAATACAGAGGGGCCGGTATTCCAACTACAGAACTATAGACTATAGAGTGAAACCCAAGAAATTGTGAACACCTTGGTCAGGCGTTTTGGACTACAAGTGTAACACCCCGCATTTCTGATACCCTGTTTCCGTATTTTTCCTCTCGTCTCATTTGCATGAATATGTGTTGTATGTGCGAATTTAATTAGTTGCTTTTCAGTTTGCTTTATTTGCTATTTATGTGAAATTATGTGAACTAATGTTCATTATATGCCTACATGAATACTTTTGATTTTATTCTCTATTTGCGCAACTAAAATGTATTTCATGTGTTTAATATAATTGAACACGTGAAATTATGTGATCTGCGTGGATTTAGTTTTAGTAACATAAGAATTTATTTTCTCACACTAGAAAGTTTATATGCTTTATTGATAGTAATTTCCTCTCTTTAAAGTGGCTATGATTGTATGCGTTACATGCACACACTTATTCCATGTGCATTTCCACTAGGCTTTTCAAATTAGCATTTTATTTTAAGATAACTTAAATAAAATTGCCTAGAAGTTCCTCTAGATTATTTCAAGTTACTCCTAATTGCAAAAAGACCCCTCTTCAATACTTACTCATTAAGATCCAAGCCTCTCCAATTCTATAAATACCACCCTCTCCTCTTCATTTCCACACACCAAAAAAATCAGCTAAGTCCCCTTCTCATTCCCCCTCTCCATCGATCAAAATAGCCCAAGTAGAAGAAGAAATCTCTTCTACTAATTCAAGCCTTCCCCATTAAATATATTCCTCTTTTCTTCCTTAATTTCGAAATTTGTAGTGTGGTAAAGTTCAAGAACTCTTTTCATTTAAATAAAAGAGGTTCTTCAAAAAGAAGTTGGTTTGCAAATATCCACAAAGTTCTTCAAATTTTGAAAAGATCCTAAGGTAAGAATCATCGAATTCTTGCTACATCAAGCTAACATCAATAGTATTTCCTTCTCTTCTCTTTTGAAAACTTTTCCTTCTTGATTGTTTGAAGAAATTGAAAGTTTTATAAAAGAAAGTGCTCATAGTATGTTGTATTATATGTTTAGTCTCATGCATGTTAAGATCCATGCTTGAATCCATTATATTTGATGAGAAAAATGATGGTGATGTTTTGATATTTTTAATTTCATGTTTAAAGCTTTGCATGTGAGAATCTAGCTCTTGATTCTTGATTCTTGAAAGAAAATAGAAGATTGGTGAGAAAACCGAAAATTTGATGATTATATGCTATGAAATTAATTATCTAAATGTTTATAATGATTTCATATTAAGATTTACAAATTATGATTATATGTTTAAGGTTGGGATTTGAGGCATATAAGTTGATTGGGTCTAGAATCTTGAAATAGATGGTTATTTGGAAAATTTACAGATTCATAGGTACGGATTTTAACCCATGTTTCACCCCACGAGTTTAGTTATGAAAACTACGAATTTTTATATGAGGATATATCTCTTTGTTATGGTCATATTGATATGTGGCTTGTAATGTTTGGAGTAGAAATAAATAAGTTATGATTTATTTACCCAAACAGTACAAAACCAGAGTTAGTTTAGAATTAGTAACGATATCTAATGTTTTACTCTTTCAAATTTAGTGATTCTACTTGGAACAGAACCCTAACTTAGAGAACTCATATGAGATAATATTTGACAGTGTTTGATATAGTAGATAATTTATAAGAAATATTTGAAGTCCCCTCCCCTGTTCTGAGTTTTAAACTGCGTCACTGTATCATTTTACTTATTTATCCTAATTTCCTAAGGATTTTCTAAAACTGTTTTTGTAAGGTATGTAAGAATCCTAATAGTATATGGAGTTAAAATTTCAAAAGGTTTGGATGAATCTGTAAAGTGAAATGAATTTTTAAAGTGACTCCGTCTATTCAGATTTCAAAACTGTACCCCCTTAGAAATTTATTTATATCTTTTATTCGCATAATGATTTTTATAAAATGTTTCTCAGTGGTTTTCAAGACATATAAAGGAGTATGTTATAAAAATTTAAAAGGCTTTTGATTTGTGGTGCAAGAGAAATGATTTTTCAAAGTTAGGATACCAAAACTGTTTGATTTTCTTAAGATGTCTATTTTTATCAAAATATGATTTGTGATCATAGTTTTAATATCCGAGGTAGGAAAGATAAGTTAGTGATGAAGGTGAAACCTCTAAGTTATGGCCTAATAATCTAAGTTTAGGTATTATGTCGCATGTCCTAAGAAAGAATTATAGTCTACTAGCCTACAACGGTGTTATGAAACAAGTGCAAGATTTAGATATATGATTAATTGACTTCTATGATGAGTTAGAATACTTGATTGTTTCCATATATTATTTGTTATTATGTGTGACACTTTTGAAATAAAGGTGTATGTATTAAGTGATTAGATTAAAGTAATTTCGTATGTGATAATTTTCATAATTCATGATATGAGTGATATTAATATGCTATGAATGACATGGTTATATGATTATGTGATTATAATATGGTTAAAGTTGAAGAATGCCCTTCTTGGTGCTACTATATGATATTAAATGTTTATGTGTGCTTATGAAATTAAATGTGAAAGTAAAAGTGCTATGTTCTATATGATTACGTATTCTATGATTTGATTAAGGATGTGAAGTATAATTGTTGTGGTACTTGTTACTTTTATGCTCGTTTATGTGAAAGTAAACACAGATAGATCATGTACACTACATGTGATTCATTATTAAGTCTAAGTAAATCACGATTTTTCAAAGTTAAAAATATTTGGAAATTGGTTGTGGATCTAGGTGAATAAGTATAGGATACTGGGGGCTGGTATTCCTGTTAGTGGTTGATAGTTGGGGTCCACATAGGGACCTGTCCACATAGGGACTGATTCACATAGGAATCGGGATTATAAACCACTAACTTGGCTATAGTAAAGTTATAGTCGTGACTACAGTAAAGTTATATAGATCACAAGCTCCAAAATACACGGCTTATTGCCGAACTCCACATTTGTTTTTGCAAACGGGCCCAATGTTTTCTCATGAAAAGTTTTAAAAGTCTAAAGTCTCATTTTCATTCATATTGCATATTAAAGTAAAGAAAGGAAGGGTGTTAAGTACCCGACTTTTTCATATTAAAGTAAGGAAAAAGAAGGGTGTTAAGTACCCGACTTTTGAAAGAAATGAAAGGATGTTAAGTATCCTTGAAAGATTTAAAGGAAAGGTAAAGGTAAAGGTAAGGTATAGTAAGTGTAAGTTTGAATGATCGTAAGTTTATTATGTGTTCATATATGCCTATATATATATATATGTGTGTGTGTGTGTGTGTGAGTGTGTGTGTGTGTGTGTGTATAAATTATGTTTAAAGACTTTTTCAAAACCTTGTTATTACTTCCAGATCCTTACTGAGACTTTTTAAAGGCTCATATAGATGTTATCTTGGTATAGGTAACTCATGATCCGAATCCGAGGAGCAAAGTTGAACCAAGTTCGAGGAAAGCCGAGGGATCGAGCCGTATGGAAATTATGTGGATTTTAAAAAACTTTCGTTTTGGTACGTAAATCTTTTAGTGGATTGTAATCCGTAGTACTTGAACATGTTACCGGGAAATGATTTTAACCCTTATGTATAATATAATATTTTCCGACTATTCTTGTTGATTTCTTAAGAGCTCCACCACAAACCGGATTCATTATTTGGAACAAGAAAACGTTTAAAGGAGAATGTGGCACCGAATAAAGAGAGAATGTTTTTGACTAAATCTATGAAGTGTTCGACTTCAAAGTTTTATTATTTTTCAAGAAAGATTTTTATCGAACTAAAATTGAAGCAAAACACTTCAAGTACTTTCAAAGCTAGAGAAAACTTTACCACCTTTCTCTAGAGGTTTATTTTGAAAAAAATAAAACCGTATTTTCAAAAGGTCTTCCGCTGCAACTTATTAGAAAAACTTTTAAACCATTTTTCGGTATAGAGAATAAAGTAAACGGGGTGCTACAACAAGCCTTGACATCGACTCCTTCTAATGATGGTGGAGTATAAAAAGGGATGAAGTTTGTTTGCCTTTTGAATTAAAGTTTGAACCACTACATTATAAGCTTTTAAGTTTTTATGTACTTTTTGAATTTATGTTTGTGGGCTACCTTTTGATATTTAATCCGTAAATTTGGTTTTAATATTTTTGATATAAGTGTTTATTTTTCTGTTCAACAGCTGAATACAGGTTGAATTCGTCAATTGAAAATATAAATGAAGCAGAATTTAATAAAAAAATAACTTTGCGACTAAAATATACAATAGTCGCAAACAAAAGCAATGACTAGCTTCCGACGAATCAAATAAACACATCGTCGCAAATAATTTGTGCGCCTTGCGACGAAAACTATTATTAGTCGCAAACATATTTTCACAATTAGCGAGGAAATCAGAACAAACGTCGCTGAATTTGGCAACGGAATAAAAATTGGTCGCAAACATTACGCGACGAAAGTATGGGATCCGTCGCGAGGATTAAAAAAATCATTTTTTTCGGAAAATACGAATTTGGCAACGATTTCCCACATCAGTCCCCAAACTTGGCGTCGCAAAAGATTTTTCGTCGCAGGCTTTGCAACAGGGCGTTTGGCGACGTTTTTTGTCAGATTTGGCGACGAAAACTTTTCGCCGCAAGTCTCGAAAAATCTTCGCCAAATATCTTATTCTGTCGCCAGTCGTTCATTTTGGCCTAGTGATTGGCACTCGTAATGACGAGGACGTTTCAATGATTCCGAAAATATAATTATTATAATTTTCCGATCATTGAGTAGTGAGAAACGAGCGAATAAAGACTAACAAACTTAAGCTGTTGGGCCCGGTCCAACTTAAGCCCGTTAGGGATTTTATACAAGACACAATAAATACAAGATTTATAGGTCTTGCACACAACATAACACACAATCAAAACCCTAGCCGCTCGAATCTCACAAACCACGGCCACTCTCACTCACGGTCGTCGCCACCACCGTCGTTCGTCGCCGAAATCGGCCCCACGCGCCGATCGCCTTTGGTAGCTTCTTTCCTTTTGTCTTTTTCTTCCGTCTATTCTAACTTTTGCGTGTCTAGTGCCACGTATTTAGTAGATCTCAGTATACGAGGTGAAATCCGAGAGGAGGAAGACCAAGGAGTCGAATTTTCGAGAAGTTGTCGCCGAATCACCGCCTCTCGCGCCTCCACGCGCCGCCCGAAGACAGCACGTAAATCTCACGTGCCGCCGTCAACAAGCGCGTCCGTCGCCGCTGCACCGCCGTTGCTCCTCCCGACTGCACAGATTGGTTTCCATGGCAGTTTGCTTCGATCAGATAGTTCGCCTCGCGCTTCAAGAGGTAATCTTTCGCATCCGCTAGATATAAGGTTTACTTTAATTAGATTAAATTGCACGTTATATGTTTTTCATGAAATTGATTTTGCATGTTTTACTTGATCGTTTTTCATGAAATTATTGTATGTATATTACGATTTGGTGCGAGCATGCTATGTGTTTTTAATTATCGAATTAATATGCATGTTGTTTTTTATTTTCGCTAGAAGCGTTAAGGTACGTAATTAATTGCTTATTGTGTCGGGCATGTGTTTATATGAATTAAATCGTGTTTTTCATATAAAATTTTTATTTTTTCTGCGTACACGTGCCTGATTCCCAACAATAACAATATTATTGTGTTAAACATTAATATATATTACTTAATATTATTGTCAGTAATATTACTGCTTAACGAGCCAAAAAATACTCATGAGAAAACAATTAAAAAAAAACAAAGGACAACTCGGCCAAGACCGACGTTGACCGCTGGGACTGGCGTTGACCGATGGTGGAAAATAAAATTATAAAAAGAGTCAACGTTGGAGACTGGCGGTTAACGGCGGCGACTAGGGGTGGAAATCGGAACGAAATTTTCGGTTTTCGTCGAATCCGATCCGAATTTTTCCGATTTTGGAACGATTTTTGTAGTGTGGATTCCGGAATTCCGATTTCCATTTTTTTACGAAAAAATCGGATCGGAATCGGAATTGTATATGAATTATTCAGAATTTCCGAATTTCGATCCAAAAATAATTCCAAAATTTCCGACAATATTTCTGAAAATTTCCGAAAATTATTAACATTTCTTCATTACTATTATTGTTTCTAGTGAGGCTTTAAGAAGCCCACTTTAGCAAGGCAACCCACTTTAGCAAACTGATGAGTCCAAATGTAGAATATTCAGAATTTAAGGGACCAAACAGTAAATACCACAAACTTCTAATAAAACTCTAATTTCTTCATTATTCTTCTTGCGTCGCTCACATCTCCTCTGAACTTTTGTTTCTCTTTCCACCACCCAACTCTTCTTCGCTACCACATTGACTCTTTTTTCTCTATAAAAAATTCTTCTTCCAGTGGTTTATTTTCTTGTTGAGATCTGTCGATCTACCCTTTCACAACCATTTTTGAAGATTCTAAAGATGTCTTTTCGGAGGAGTTCTCATAAAATCATCACGTCGTATTGCTTTGTCGTGAAAATGCAACAAAGTCGGAACAAACCGCCAAGACGCCGCCAATTCCGAAATTCCGACCAGAATTTTCGGAATCGGAATGAGTTTTTTTTTTCGAAATTTTCCACCACGAGCGGCGTCGGAACAGGAACGATGCCCTCCGTTCCGGAATCCGTAACAAGAACAATTTTTCACCGTGATTCACCGGAATGCCAAAAAACCGGTGGGATGGGTGAGACGGAGCCATGGAACGGCAGCAACGCGGTCAGAACCGCGACAGGAAAAAAAAATTGAAAAAAAACAAATTTTAACTAAAAAAATAAGGAAAAAAAACATAAAAGAAAAAAAAATAATAATAAGATAGTGGTGGCCACGTTAGAGAATGGAGATTCTCTTGAATCACGGATGTTTGGCCTGACTCTTCAATCATAGCTTACACAATTCCAACTTAGTATTCTACGTGGTATTAATATTGCTTGTATTTTCATAATGTTCTTTGTAATATTTATTTTTGAAATTGTATGATATTTTGCATATTATTGAATTGTAATTTTGTTATTAAAAACATATTTGAAATATATGTATTTTGTTTTGCAACATAATTAAAATGTGTCTGTTCCAATCGCACGCAGCTGCAACGTTGCAACGGAACTGGAACGGCAGTGTTCGCAACAATGCACTGTTCCGTTTCGGTGAACCGGCGACGATTGAAATCGGAGTCAAAACTAGGTTAGTGGTCAAATTTGAATAATTTGTGAAATTGGAGGTCAAATTGAGATTCAATTTAGGGATGGCAACGGGTCGGTCAATTTGGGGATGACAACGGGTCAGTTATGAGGCGGATTTACGTAGACGCGAGACTCGACCCGCAAAAAATAGATAAATACAGATATACACACACACGCATAAAAGAAAAACCAAAGTAATATAAGGAGATGTGTGAGAAAAAATCAATTGCTTTTATTAGAAACATTGAGCTGAGAGAGTACAAGAGAAGAAAGAAAGAATGGTAATGAATATAAATTTCAACCAAACAAAGCCATCCACTGTACAATAATATACGAACAAACACTGCCCCTAGATGCAATTACTTTTCACTGTCTAAAATCTTCTTTGTCCAAACAGATATTGTATCTTTGAGCCACTTCCAGTACTTGAAGATATAGCAACGAAAATATGGAGGATAACAGCAACAGAAGTAGATGAAAATTGGTCCAACACGCAAACTTTGATGCTTTCTAATGCTTGAAGAACCTTATTCATGAATAAAATAGTTGCTCTAAGAAGTTGGTAGCGGAAGCCTTCTTTTATTCGGAACCCTAGACTGACTGCTGCAAATTGAACAATTAAAAATCAGACGATGGACTAATAAAGTGTATGTGGATGACTAATAAAATGTACGTGGATGATTAATTTAGATGACGACTTACATTTTTCACAGCTTAATAATGGGTTGGAGGAGGTGGGGAGGCGTAGATGTATGCCGGTGGTGGAGGTGACTTTACGGGTGGTGGAGGTGATGAGTAGACATATGGTGGTGGCGGTGATTTTACAGGTGGTGGAGGTGATGAGTAGACATATGGTGGTGGTGGTGACTTCACAGGTGGTGGAGGTGATGAGTAGACATATGGTGGTGGAGGTGACTTCACAGGTGGTGGAGGTGATGAGTACACGTACGGTGGTGGCGGTGACTTCACGGGTGGTGGAGGTGATGAGTACACGTACGGTGGTGGTGGTGACTTCACGGGTGGTGGAGGTGATGAGTACACGTAAGGTGGTGGTGGTGGTGACTTCACGGGTGGGGGAGGTGATGAGTACACGTATGGTGGGGGTGGTGATTTTACGGGTGGTGGAGGTGATGAGTAGACATATGGTGGTGGCGGTGACTTCACGGGTGGTGGAGGTGATGAGTACACGTAAGGTGGTGGTGGTGACTTCACGGGCGGAGGAGGTGATGAGTACACGTATGGTGGTGGTGGTGACTTCACGGGTGGTGGAGGTGATGAGTACACATACGGTGGTGGTGGTGACTTCACTGGTGGGGGAGGTGATGAGTACACGTATGGTGGTGGCGGTGACGTTACGGGTGGTGGAGGTGATGAGTAGACGTATAGTGGCGGCGGTGGAGACTTGTAGATGTAAGGAGGAGGTGGTGGGGATTTGTAGATGTAGGTCGGTGGTGATGGTGGTGGAGATTTGTACACGTAAGGAGGAGGAGGCGGAGATTTATAGATGTAAGTTGGTGTCGGTGGTGGAGGCGACTAGTAAACATAAGTCGGAGTTGGGGGGGGCGGCGACTTATAAACGTAAGTCGGTGTCGGAGGTGGGGGAGATTTGTAAACATAAGTAGGTGTTGGAGGTGGCGGTGACTTGTAAACGTAAGTCGGAGTTGGAGGTGGTGGAGATTTGTAGTAGTAAGGAGTAGGGCTTGGGTTAGGCTTAGAGCACTCTCCATAAGGAGTTTTTGGTGCATAAGCAAATTCTTTAGCAAATAGCACAACTTGTAAGTTAGTTTTGGACTTCACTTTAAGTTTAGATCCTTTCTTTCCGGAATGAAGATCTGTTGGGATATTGCATTTTGACCCCTTTGGTGCAGCATGAAGTTTAGCTTTGCATGCCTTTGCTCCATATTTACTATACTCAAATCCTTCAACCGGAATACTGTATTTCCCATTGTTCTTTGTTTTGCCGTACGCCACTATTTTTTTGTCACCTGCTTTGCACGTGATCTCCACAACAGCACCTGATCCACGTGGGTTGAAAATATTAATTAAATAAAATGTTTGCCATCTATGTTAACTGGTATGTAGATAGATCAATATTACAACTAATGACTAAATTATTAGTTTATAAATTTAATTCACAAAGCAGTTCCACCATGTTGAACATATTGCACATGTCCTATTCAAAATATGGAAGATTCTTCATTTGATTTCTTCAAGATTGGACCACATATTTAATTTAGTTATAAAATTCAAATTTTCAGAAAAATAATCTAAAATAGACTCAATTTGACAAGCACATTATATTAGTAGGTGATCGAGTCAACATTTAATTATAATTCCCTGATAATTTTGTTTAATCAGTTGGATTATTAAATAATGATAATGGAAAATAATTAATTAGTATTATAGTCATGAATAGTTGTAATAATCTACACTATAATTAATGCATTATCCATGCATGTCTTAGTTATATATAGGAACTTTTGTATTTGTGTGTGTGTGTGTATATATATATGTGTGTGTGTGTGTGTGTGTATACCTGTAAGATGTTTCTTGTGATGGGACTTCAATGGGTAGCTCCAGTCATAGCACCTGTAACAGTATACTTTTCCGGTCACCTTAACAACCAAAGGGTGGTGAACCGATGGTGGTGGAGATGTATAGTAGTATGGTGGTGGTGGTGATTTTACTGGTGGTGCCCCAAAAGTGTAATGGTACGGTGGTGGTGGTGATAAAAAAAAAGTGGTGGTGGTGATGTATAGTGGTATGGTGGTGGTGGAGATTTTACTGGTGGTGGTGGTGATGTGTAGTGGTATGGTGGTGGTGGAGATTTCACTGGTGGTGGCGGTGATGTGTAATAGTAAGGAGGTGGCGGAGACTTCACTGGTGGTGGTGGTGATGTGTAGTGGTACGGCGCCCCCCCCCCCCCTTAACCGGTGGTGGTGGTGAAGTGTAGTGGTATGGAAGTGGTGGAGATTTCACTGGTGGTGGCGGTGATGTGTAATAGTAAGGAGGTGGCGGAGACTTCACTGGTGGTGGTGGTGAGGGTAGTGGTACGGCGGTGGTGGTGACTTCACTGTGGTGGTGGTGAAGTGTAGTGGTATGGTGGTGGTGGAGACTAACCGGG